AACAATCAACAAAGGTGGAACCAAGGTAACTCTTGGAAACCACAACGAGGTCCTTCTAATCCCCCCATCCGGGTTTTCACAAGGGTAAACAATGGAGGAGATGATGAAAACTCTCAGTGAAAATATTGTGGCTAGTGTAAAAGCCCAAAATGAGGAGAATTTTAGTAGGGTGAAGGCATCCATTGGGAATCTCCATTCTCAATTCAGAAAGCTTGATCTCCGGTTTAAAGATCAAAACCGGTAAGTTCACCAACGCATGGACAACATAGAATAATACACCAAGTCATCTATTCACAACTTGAAGGTTCAAATTGGGCAAATTGCCCAAGGAAAAAGCACTAGAGAACAGGGGAATTTTCCCACAACAACAGAAATCAACCCTAGGGAGAGCGTCATGGTCATTACCACAAGAAGTGAGAGGCAAGCGGAGGACCCCAAGATGTCGGAGAAGAGAAGTACACCGGAGGGGAAAGAAGAGGTTGCACATACACCGTTACCACCTATTGTGGCTCAATATGTTCCTCTCATCCCCTATCCACAAAAATTAAAGAAGAAAGAAGATGATGAGAAATAAAAGAAATTTCTTGATATTTTTAAGAAATTGAGCACCAACATACCTTTTGCAGAGCCATTGCAGAGATTCCATCATCTCCAACCAAAAGAGGTTAGAGGAATTCACAACTATGGCACTAACGGAGGGATGTAGTGGAAAAGTCGGGGAGGTAAGGTCTCTTTGTGACCTTGGTGCTAGCATAATCTTATGCCTGACTTTCTATTTAAAAAGCTAAGTGTGGGGGAACTTTAACCAACAACGATCACCTTACAATTAGCGGATAGAACAATCCGCTATCCAATAGGCATCATGGATGATGTTCTTGTCTAAGTTGGAAAATTCTACTTCCCGGTAGATTTTCTTGTTTTGGACATGGAAGAGATGGAGGTCCCCGTCATACTTGGGAAATCATTTTTGGCTACTTCCGCAACGGTCATTGATGTACAAGCGGGCACGGTAAGGCTAAGAGTGGGGGACGATGATGAGACATTCCATGTGTGGAAAACACAATCTACTCAAACTAAAATCATGGATGCCAACACTCACAAAAGCATAAATGTCATAAAAGCACAACTATTCGGACCCGACGATCCTCCAACACACCCCGAGAGCAAAAAGAACGGACCAACAACTCTATGGCCTCCACATGAGCTCGACCGAAAGGTAACATTGGTCAGACGTTTTAAAGAGCCCAATCACACAGAAGAGGTACGTTACGTCCGACCTATGACGTTAAACAGAGCGCTAATTGGGAGGCAACCCAACAAAAATCAATTATAAATAAATATGTTTAACTATACAAATATTCATTTTTATTTATAATTAAACAAAAATCAATTATAAATAAATATGTTTTTTTCACATAAACATTCATATTTATTTATAATTGAAAAAAACAAAAAAATAGTTAATTTGCCTAGGACCGACTGCCCCGGTTGAACAACACAACCGGCACCGTTCCAAAACAAGGGGCTCCAGATGGCTTTAAACACGCACAATCGGCGCCAGTCACCTGACCAACTGGCGCCGGTCCTCCCAATTTTAAACAACTCCCAGGTCGTGAAAACGACCACGCAGCAGCTCCCAGGATCCACCACTTTATCTTTGGCTCCACTTCCATGTTTCTTAACCCACCTTCAATGCTTTGTACTTTGATAGTCATTTACAAGCATCCTATATTGAGTGATAAAACTCCCACCTGGGATAACCTTACAATCTGTGTAAATAGTTTCCCAAGTAGTATGTACTAAGATGAGTCTCTTTTCTTGAAGCAAGTGTTCATTATAGGCTTATAGCAACCTCATACGTCGAGACAAAGTCTAATATATTCTTTCCCGCTTAAATTCTAGTGCTAAAACCATGTCCACCACTTCCATTGACCTCGCACTAGTGGAAAAACGTCAAATAGAGGCGCTTCGTTTGAGGCGCTTTTCAGCACAAGCGCCTCTGTTTGGCGAATAAATTATTATTTTAATATTTTCCGAAACCGTGTGGCGCTTCTGAAAAAAAAAACGCCTCCAATTATTTTTCGAAATATTTTTTTTACATCGTGCGGCGCTTTCTTTTAAGAAGCGTCTCCGATTTGATTCCTGTTTTTTTTTTAAATTCCTTCCACGCGTGCGGCGCTTAGGCAAAGAAGCGCCTCTAATTTCCCCGTTTTTTTTGGAATTGGGCCACGTGTGCGGCGCTTAGGCTAGAAGCGCCTCTATGGAATTCATTTTTTTTTTTAAATAGCTGGCGTGTGGCGCTTTATTGGAAGGAAACGCCTCCAATTTTAACCCAGCTATTTGGCCGGGTCGTCGTCCAAACCTAGCCTTCACTCACGTAGCTCCGAAGATAGCAGCCGCACCGCGCGACCAGAAGGAAAATATCGACCGACCGCCGCCGGCTGCTTCCTCTCTGCCGCCGTACGCCTACCGTCGGCTTCTTCTCCCGATTATTCGACTTCTCCAGGCTCGCTCGACGTCGATTCGTTGCTCGGCTGCAACTACTCCGGCACGCCGTCGACTTCTTCGGCTCCCCATTGACTGCGCCGGCTCTCTGCAGACTTCTCCGGCCCGCATCGCAGGTCAGTTCATTTTTCAATTAAGTTTTTGGTATATTTTGGTTGATTTCACTTTTGTTTGATTTTAGTTTAAATTTTAGTTTAAATGTTTTCAGATTAATGTATATTTCCTATGATATCCATTGTTCCCATGTTTAGGCTTCCTTGATTTTTAATCAAGTGGGAATTATATTTGACATTGATAAAAGTGAGTTTATTTGTTAATTTGTTTGGCATATATGTTATGTTTTTCATTTTTATTTGATTTTACTTTGATTTTTTTGGACTGCTTCGGCTCACAGTTAATTATAATTTATTAATTGTTTATTTGACATGGTTATCAATGTATTTAATTTGATTATAGTATGTGTAATTATTTATTGTATTATGACATTATTGTGTGTATTTCTTTTTGTTTTTTTAATGTGAAAAGAAAAAGAGAAGAAAATGTGACCTGAACGTTTATCTGATTACAAAAAAAGACTCTGAATATAAAAGAACGGCACTTTGCCGGCATTCCGGGCATCCTTTTTGAAATTGTACCCCTTTTCTCACTACCTTTATCAATACAAAAGTTTTTTTAAGATTTTAGTGCCTACCTCAAGTCCCGACATCCTACAAAGATGGCATAGCATTCTGTATTTATTATTTTTACACTTCAACAAGTATTTCATAAATTCAACTAATCTCCCTGAATATAAGACTTGTTCACTTCCACAAAACAAAATGTTTATTGAGCACGAATATAGCAGTTAGCAAATACTCCCTCCGTTTCTAAAAGAAACTCACACTTTCCTTTTTGAGATGTTTCAAAAATAAAGTCACACTTCCCTTATTTCCTTATTTGGCAAAGAAATCTACATCCAAATAGTGCCAAATAGTTCCAAACAGTGCCAAACAGTGTCCAAACAGTGTCTAACAGTGTTTTCTACAGTAAAGTCAATTTATTTCCTTAATAATCGTGAAGTCAAACCGTGACTTTCTTTTGGAAATAGATGGAGTATATGATATTGCTTATATGCACATTATATGATATATGATTATTGGACAAATAAAGAATTTCGTTCAAAATGGATCGTTCTTGGATGTATGGACGTCGAGACACGTCTGAGTTTTTCATTGGTGCGAATAGCTTCATCAAAGCTGCCGTTACACACCAGAAACAACAAGGAGATAAAGGAATTTTATGTCCTTGTTTAAAGTGCCGGAACTTGAGAAGAGAGAGTGACACCAATGTTATACTTCAACATCTGTTTGAGAGAGGCTTTAGAGAAAATTACATCATTTGGACTTTACATGGAGAGACTTTCCGGGATGGTGAGAATGTTGTTCCGCGAGCCGCCGCTAGTAATTTAAAGCGCAAAGCCCCCGATACTACCACCAACTTAAATTGGAACAATGAAAATAATGGGGATGATGATTTCAATTATGATCAAATGGATGAGTTTTTGAAGGATGTACATGATAATTTTGAACAAAAACCAAAATCATATGAAAGTATGGTTGATGCCGCCAAAATACCTTTGTATTCTACCTCTACTTTTACCAAGTTGTCTGCGGTTTTGAAGTTATTTCATTTGAAAGCGAAACATGGATGGAGTAATGTCAGTTTCACAGAGTTATTGACATTAATTCAAGAGATGTTGCCCGAAGGGAATACACTTCCTGATACCACTTACAAGGCAAGAAAGTTACTGTTCCTATGGGAGCTGAATGGGAGAAATTCCACGCTTGTCCCAATGATTGTGTGTTGTACCGGAATGAGTACGAAAATCTTGATGAATGTCCAATATGTCATCTTTCTCGCTACAAGGCAAAAGGAGTACAAATAGTGCTAGTGACACTGAGAGTTCCAAAATTCCTGCAAAAGTTTTGTGGTATCTCCCCATTATTCCGAGATTTAAAAGGTTATTCATGAATGCAAAAGATTCCAAACATTTAGTTTGGCATTCTCAGGGTAGAAAAAAAGATGAGTACTTGCGTCATGTGTCTGATTCTCCGCAATGGAGAAAATTTGACTTGAAATATCCTAAATTCGGCAGAGAGGACAAAAATTTGAGACTTGGCCTATGCACTGATGGTATGAATCCATATGGTACACTCAGTAGTCAACACATCACTTGGCCAGTTCTATTGGTTATTTACAATTTGCCTTCATGGTTGTGCATGAAACGCAAATACATCATGTTGTCTCTTCTTATCTCGGGACCCAAACAACCGGGTAATGATATTGACGTGTACCTTGCACCGCTTATTGATGATCTCAAACTGTTGTGGACCGAAGGTGTTACAACATACGACATGCATACCAAATCTTATTTTCAAATGCATGCTATGTTGTATTGCACTATAAATGATTTTCCAGCATATGGCAATCTTTCAGGTTACACAGTCAAAGGTGCAAAAGAATGTCCTATATGTGAAGATGATACAGTTGATTTGCGATTACCTCATTGCAAAAAAAATGTTTACTTGAATCATCGAAGGTTTCTTCCGCGCACACATCGTTATCGTGCATTGAAGAAGGCATTTAACGGAAAAATTGAGCATGAAATAGCTCGTCCACCATTAAATGGTCATGATGTGTATGATAGGGTGAAAGATTTGAACACAATCTTTGGAAAACCTTATAAGCGGAACAAGCAGAGCCTTTGGAAAAAGAAATCTATATTTTGGGAGCTTCCTTATTGGAAAGACCTATCAGTAAGGCACTGTCTTGATCTCATGCACATTGAAAAGAATGTGTGTGACAACATCATTTCGACTATTTTGAATGTTCCTGGAAAGTCAAAAGACGTCATAAATATTCGCAAAGACATGGTTGAACATCTGAATATTCGGAAAGAATTAGCACCACAACCACGTGAGAATGGATTTTTTCTTCCACCAGGCAGCTATACATTATCAAAGGCTGAGAAAAAAAGTTTATGTGAGTGCTTACATGGGATAAAGGTGCCATCAGGGTATGCGTCTAATATTAGAAATATTGTATCACTACAAGATATGAAATTGATTGGGTTGAAGTCTCACGACTATCATGTTTTGATGCAACACTTGTTACCTGTTGCTTTAAGAGGTCTTCTACCTCATCATGTTCGGCATGCCATTATGAGGTTGAGTTTCTTCTTCAATTCCATATGCCAGAAAGTAATTCATCCAGAGAAACTTGATGCTTTGCAATCAGAAGTGGTTGTTACATTATGTCAACTCGAGATGTACTTTCCGCCATCGTTGTTTGACATTATGGTGCATCTTGTTGTGCACTTAGTCAGAGAGGTAAAGATGTGTGGACCGGTGTTTTTGAGGTACATGTACGGAATGGAGAGACACATGGGGTATTTAAAATCAAAAGTAAAAAACCGTTGTCGACCGCAAGGTAACATCATCAGAGGTTTAATTGATGAAGAAGTCATTGAATTTTGTACGCCATATTTAACTAATGTGGAATCTTTGGGGGTACCAAAGTCTAGACATGATGACAGACTTGAAGGAAAGGACACTCTTGGGAAGAAACAAGTAAAGAATGTGGATAATGATTTGTTGGGAAAGGTTCATCTTCTCGTATTGCATCATCTTGAAGTATTTCATCCTTATGTGCAACAACATATGAATGTCTTGAGATCCCAGTTTCCTTTGAAAAGTGAAATCTGGTTGACTAAAGAACACAACCGAACCTTTGCATCTTGTTTTAGGGATTTAATTTTCAATGGCACTGATAATGTATACTATGATGTTGATGATGATATGAAGTGGTTGGCCTATGGTCCTAAACGACCAATTGATTCTTTTGAAGCATATGATATCAATGGCTACACTTTTTATACTACCAGACAAGATGAGAAGTCAGTGTTACATAATAGTGGTGTGTCTGTGATAGCATCTTCGACTGAGTATGCTAGTGCAAATGATCAAAATCCATTAAATGCAAGGTTGTCTTACTATGGAAAAATAGAAGACATTTGGGAGTTAAATTACACAGCTCGATCTTTTGCCATTTTCAAGTGTCAATGGGTTGACATTCGTCGAGGGGTGCAATGTGATGACACTGGAGTCACATTAGTAGATTTTAACCGATCAGGACATCGTGGTGATCCGTTCATACATGCATCACAGGCCGAACAAGTGTTTTATGTAAAAGATCCTTCAAATGAATGATGGTCCATTTGTTTACCCGGCAAGAAAAAGATTACATGTAATTTTGAGGATGAGGAAGATGATTATGTTGAGGAAATGCCCTCATTATCTATCGGGATGCGTGAAACAAACATAAGATATGATCACAATGAGGATGATCTTCCCTTTATCGCACACCATAATGATGGCATTGAAGTGTTAACGGAAAAAGCTAAGTGAGGAATTGTAAGTTGTTTTGAGTTAAGTAATTTAATACTGAATTGTAAGTTATATTTAATATTGAATTATTATTAATCATTATGCATGCTTATGAATTGCAGGTACACACTATGAGAGACGACGACGAAGATGAGCCTGGTCATAATCAAGATCCTCATGGTGGCAGTGGCGGTCAAAGAGACAGCGAGGGGAGAAAAATAATTGAATTTGCTGATACCGATGCTGTCATCGGTGAGTGGGTTGAAGAGTTTAAATCATTCATGGGGAAGATGGTACGTTCCCGAGTGAGTATAAACATTGATAGTTGGAAGAAAGTTTCAAAAACGAATAAAGATCAAATCTTTAAAGAGATACAGGTACCTACAAAATCTCCAATTTTATTAGCCGAAATATTTATCTTCATTTCACTGTATAATATACGCTAACACTTTATTTTTGATGTTATCATGCAGCATGACTATGCTGTGGAGGATAATATGAAAAAACCATTATTGAAAAAGTTGGGCAAAATGCACCGAGATTGGAGAAATTGAATGCGATCAGGTTTCATAAATAAGACTCGTCAAGTGGGAAAGGATTGTGGGGAAGCTTTTGAGAAGTATAAAGACCAACTTACCAAAGAAGAGTGGGATAGTTTCGTGGTGAAGACTATGACTCCTAAGTTTGTGGTATGTCATAGAATTAAAAAATTTCAATATTTTAATTAAGTAGTTGTTTAATATTTATGAAACATTGAATAGGATTTGAGCGATAAGAATAAACAAGCTGCACTTCAGAATATCTATCCTCATCATATGGGTCGTTCAGGATATGTTCTTTCCATACCGAAATGGAAAGAGCAAGGATTATTAGATCAGTTTCTTACCGGTTCAGAAGTAGATTCAACGAACTCTAGCACAACCACTTCTGGTGATATTCCAAGACATGTCACTTTGTTTTGTGCAAGGTCTGGATTAATAGCGGACGGTCACATCGTGTTTCCTGGTAATACTGAGGGCATGCGCGAGAAAAAAGAGAAGTTGGTAAGTTATAGTTAGTATATGTATGCTCATATAATTAAATCATGTTTATTTTTTAACATTAAATTCTATTGCTTCTGTACTAGGATAAACTTCAAGAAGATGTAGCAGCAGGAACGTGGAAGCCAAGTGGTCGACATGATATATTGACGGAGGTTGTTGGGAAGCCTGATTACCCTGGACGTGCACGTGGCGTCGGTGGTGGTGTGGGTTATACACATGTCTTTGATCGAGAGCCGAGAAGCACACATCGAAATAAGGTTGGTAATTTGAGTGATGTTGACCTAAAGCAGTTGCAAGAGCGATTGATGAAAGACATGCAACATTACTTTGTTCCAAGAAGTGAAGTGCCTATCGGGGATTCAATGCCTGCTTCTGAGGTGGCCCATGTGGATACTATGAACTCTGCTGCACCCCATCTTAAAAAAACATTCATTGTAAGTAACATTTTATTAATTATTTATGTAGAAAATGTTTTATTTTTCATTTGTATGTGTACATACATACATGCAGGATGGTGCATCTTATAGGCTTGCTGTTCAGTCACACACTCATCCTGGTGATAAGAGTTTGGACTTTGTGGCCATGGATGTAGCCTACAACACGCCTGTTGGGTCGTTAATCCATAATGTACCGATGTGTGAAAACACAATCAAAGTGAACATATGTATGGCATATCGAGAGTTTGAAGACTGTCCATTGCTTTATCCTAATGAAGCCGTTGATATGAATGTTGTAGCAGACGCTGTAGGTTCATATGTTCAATGGCCATCTCATTTGTTTTTTTTTTGAGGGAGAGGTAATGAAGTTATTGTTTCATATTTTTTACTTTTGTTGCTTATTTCGATATGAAATTCTTTCATACATTTTTATGTAATAATTATTTTAGGAACCACCGTCTAAGTCAAAAAAGGAGGATGGAGCTAAGAAAAAAGTATCCTTTATCGTGAGAGATTCACCAAAAGTAACGGTTGAACCCAGCTCACATTCATTGGTCAGAGAAACTGTTCTTCATTCACTTACAGATGATCTTTTAAGATTGCATGAAAATCTTGAGTGGTATGAGCCCGATCTTTGTAAGTTTTCTATTCCTCTTCCTGCGGAGTTGTTCTGTTATATTGATGATCAGCAATTTGGGACCATTGTTGACCGTGAAGACTTGAGTCAATTTCTGGAGAGTGATTATGTTGATCTTTCAATTATTCAGACCTTTATGTTGTAAGTATTATAATAATTTTACAAACACTCTTGAATATTTGTTAGACTTAATTACTATTGTCTAATTATTAATATTATAATTTCACATGCATGTAGTTGTGTAAATGCAAAACTAATTGAGTTTGGTCGTGATGATGTGAGTCTTTTGTGTCCTTGGATTTGTTCTTTTAAGTATTATAAATTGGATAAAAAGGGCACACTGACTTACATGAAGCATGCTCTGACTGAAATGTTTGAAAAGAATATCATTCTCTTGGCATATAATGAAGGGTATGATTCATATATTACATTCGCTTTTACATATTATATTTATTGATCGTGACATATGAAATATTAACCCATTTTCTATTCTCTTGGGAAACATAGGTATCATTGGGTTTTGTTTGCAATTTGTCCAAAGGTTGATAAGGGCTATATTTTCAATTCATTGCCAAGTTATTCCAATATTGCTATTCAAAAAGATCTTACGATGTATGTATTTTTAATGATTTAGTTGTGATATTTAACATTTATATTTAACATTTATACTTGTATGTCAACATTGAGCATATATATATATATATATATATATATATATATATATATATATATATATATATATATATATATACATATATATACATTGAGGTTAATTTTCATTATAGGATGTATAGAGTTGCGTCTACACAAAAGGGTCGTGGCAAGCCGATCAAATGGCATAATATGAAGGTACTTTCGTCATATATCTTCTCTTATTTTCATAAGTTATGCTTTAATGTAAAAAAATCATATTATAAAATAATAATGTATATTTGTCATCTAATATATAGTGTGCAAGACAAACGGGCAACACAGAATGTGGATATTATGTGATAAAGTTTATTTGGGAAATAATAACTTATGTTGGAAGTTCAGATATTGCACAAGTATTTAAATTATATATACTTCAATAGGTGGATTTCATGTTTGGAATGCATTAAATCATTTAACTTATATACGATAGTATAATTTAGTTTGTCATTATTTATTTTATCTATATTTGTATGATTACTTTCAGGTTTGGAATGCAAGAACTGAGCCATATACAACGGAGGAGTTTGATGACATTAGAAAAGTATGGGCTAGATTTTTTGTAGATGAAGTGTTATGACTATGTAGGATTGTGAAAATCAAGCAAACTTGAATGTAGTTTTATTATATTGTGATACAAATTTGTACCTTTTGAATTGAATTTGTGCGAAACGATTTTATCGTTATTCTGGTTTTATGAATGAATGAATGTGTTTTTTTGGTTGACAATGGATCTGTAAATAAAACAGGTTATATAGTATTTAAAAAAAATTATAAATAATAATAATATTTGGAGGCGCTTTTTATGATAAAAGCGTCTCTAAAGCAGAATACAGAGCAAAGTTTGGAGGCGTTTTTAAGGTTAGAAGCGCCTCCAATTCAGTTTACGTAGCACATTTTGGAGGCGCTTTTTTCGTCAGAAGCGCCTCTAAATACCGATATAAATAAAAAACCCATCAGAAGCGCCTCTATTTCACTCACGCGGTGCTTTTGCTGTTAGAAGCGCCGCAAAATTCCAATTTTTTTTTAAATATTAGAGGCGCTTCCTGTCTAAAAAGCGCCTCCAATTGAGATTTGCGGCACATTTTTTAGAGGCGCTTCAAAGCGCCGCACGTGAGCCATTTGAAGCGCCTCTGATTAGCGATTTTGCACTAGTGTCGCCTCTTACGATCAACTTCTCTCCCATTGACACTCGTCTTACATTTCCTCAAGATCTTCCAAGAATTTTTGAGTTATAGATGCATAGGCACTTATTAACGACATGATCTCACCCCTATATCACCAATTTAATCTCATGATGCGGTCATTCTTACTTAAGACTTCTACCACATCTTAACATAATCACGCGACACAATAATGGATACTCCATTTCTGGTCCCCTCTCTCCCGGTTGAATACCTCAACTTAAAATATTCCAGATTAATCTCACAAGCCTTCTCTCCAAATCACTTAGTTTGTTGCATACACATAATGCTGATATTTCTTCTCCTCATAATTAACTTCGACTACCTCAGATGATGTTTTCGAAAGAGACCCAACATTCCATGTCCCTAAGCGCAATCTAACACTCCAACTTCTATTTTTAGCACCACCTTGACCCTCATCATGCCCTTGCATTTTTGAGACCATCCCCGAGCAATAGGATATATGACGCGTCGTTACCGGGCGACGACCTAGCAATCTTAGCATTTTTTTTCACGACGCATAGGCTTATGAACTGTAGCGCGCCCTTGCATATTTAATTTGATACCACCACATGACAGAGGGATGATGTGCTGTTTATGAGCAATGACCTAGCTCAAACATAATTCATATTTCGATTCATGTAATTTAATGTGACTAAGTGATACTGTTTGTCGTCACACGTCTAATCTACCGCAACACCCTCTTCATTTATCCTGCCTTGGACATACGTGATATCATACCTTTTAAATCTATACTTTCTAAAAATATATTTGTTTTGTCATTATTATTAATCTAAATATTACAATGAAAGTTAATTTAATGATTAGCGAAACATTTATAGCATAGCGAAACTTTTTTTTTTTTGGAACAAAAAAGTTTGGATAAAAGAGTCGTAGTCTAAACCCTTCTTATCAGCCATCGGTACAAATAAATGAATCACACATTACCGTACAGATTCGACAGTGTGAGGTTTAGCCATACAAATACACGCGCGGTACACAAGCATTTGTAGGGTTGTGGGATAATAAGATAGATGGGAAGTTGCTGAGCTGGGAATATGAGGACGAATCCTTCTAGCTAGATCGTCGATCATTTATATAAGGTCCATGGATCTTAATTAATGAAGCTTGTGGTCCCTAGCTCTAATCACATTAATTAATTTAGACATGCAACCATTTATTGGGAGATCATTATTTTTATCCCACATATCGAAAATGTGATTTGTGGTGGGTACCAATTCAAATGCTTCCATTGGCCCGGGTCCCTACTACGGTCTATTTTTTATTTTATTTTATTTAGTACATAAAAAAATGATACCATATTCTATTTTGTATCTTGATCCCACCGTATAAACTATCCACTTTCTAGTTTCTATATTCATTGTGTCATGTGGTATTGCGACGTTAGCATAGACTTACTTATGTGGTGCAAAAGTTACAAACAAATAATAAAATCAATAAAAGCTAACGGCTAATGATGGCTGCTAATCACCGAAATTTTCAATTTTATTTAATTAACTTTACAAATATTAATTTTCAATAAATAATTTTTTAAACAATTTAATACATGGCAGATGTATATTGACGATGACATATACCACATAAGGTGACATAGCTAAGCTTTAAAACTAATCACAGTTGTCAAAGAGCGTTTGATGAGGTTGTTACTTTTTGTAACAAATTTCATATAGATGTGCCTTCTATGGATCAGAACTACATCAAAGGAAAAGGATATAATAAGCGCAAGGCACCAAGTATAACCAACATGCATCATTACAAGTATGATTGTTTACATGAGATTGTTAATTTGTTTGTGGCTAAGCTTGATAGCAGGTTTGATGTGGCAAGCACTCAGTTATTGCATTGTGTGTCTTGTTTATGTCCTTCCTCCTTGTTTGAAGCTTTTGATAGGGCATCTTTGCTTAAATTGGTAGAATTTTATCCAAAAGAGTTTTCTGATGTTGATCAAAAGATACTCGAGAATCAGCTTGAGAATTATATTTTAGATGTCCGTTCTGATAATAGATTTTCTGATTTGAATGGTTTAGTAGACCTTTCGATTGCAATGGTGTCCACGAAGAAGCATCTCGCATATCAGCATGTGTATACACTTATTAAGTTATCTCTACTTCTCCCAGTAGCTACAACAAGTATTGAACGGGCGTTTTTCAGGTATGAAGTTCGTGAAGAATGAGTTGCGGAACAAGATCTGCGATCAATGGTTGAATGATTCTTTAGTTACATATGTTGAGAGAGATATTTTTGGTACTATTAGTGATGATTCTATTATAGAATATTTCCAACAAATGAAGCCTAGGAGGGTATATATGTAGAATTGTTGAATGATTTTTATATGTAATTTTTTGCTTTATAATATCTTAATGTTTTGATGGTGTATGATGGATAGTGTACCCGGGGGGTAGCTTATCCGGGGGGTTATTGCGGGGAATAACAAGAGAGAAGTCAGAGCAAGTAAGTATAGAGAGAGAAAGTGTATTAAGAAAGTATGCAGCGTTTATGACTTGTGACTTGGTTACAAACGGGGAAATGGGGTACTATTTATAGTAGCAATAAATGCCGGACAGGGACACGTGTCAAGCGTCCATTGGCCGAGAGGTCACCTCATCTGGTTGGCGCTGGCAACCGCATGTGGCCGCATTTAATGCGGCTGTTGGATGGGACGTTGTACAGGGCACGTCGATCTGTACGCATGTGGCGCGGATATCATGTCGGGCAGGGTGCCCTCGGCTGTAAAGGACTAGTCGAGGGCTCCGAGTACTGGGGACCCCCCTTGGTGCCGAGGGCTCCAGGTGCCGAGGGCTACTGATTTTTGCCGTTTTTCCCAGTAACTTTGTTTTGCTGTCCTGGCCCTCCTGTGAGACTTAGAGCCTTCGGCCAGGGGGGCGAAGGTACCCCTGGTGCGCATTGTGGGCTGCTTGGTACTCTGGGCGTCGTGATTTGGGCCTGTTGGGCCTTCTGGGCTTGTTGGGCCTTTACTGGAGTAGTAGGAGTCTGTGGGCCGGGGGTTCCCGGGCCATATACTCCATCAGGAGTCCCTGACTCCTTTTGCTGAAAGGTATTTGAGGGAAAAGAAGTAATTTATGTTTGTCCCCTGCCGTTGTTCCGTTTGTAGTTTGTAGAGTTGTTGGTAGTTTGCTGTTTGTTTATTCTGCCGAGGGCAGTCCCTCAGTTACCCACATGTCGGGACTTGAGGGGTCATGTTTGTGATTTTGTGATTTTTCCCGAGGGGGTCCTCCAGTCCCCTACTCCTTGAGGCACTTGCAAAGTGGTGAAAAGGAGTAGAGTAGTTGCGCTGCTGTTGTGGGCCGAAGGCTGACGCTTTTCGTTTAATTTTGGGGGGATGCCTCGTTAAAAACCTCATTAGGAAAAACCCTGTGGGAAAAAATCCTAATGAGGGAAAAAGAGTGCACCGAATTCCCCCAACGATGAATCGAAAATGTGAAACCTTGATAAAAAATGGAGAATAACGGTAATGCCGAGGGCGCTCCTTGTTCTGAGGGCTCATGTGTCGAGTAGCCAGAGGCTTGTTGTTGATGTCCCGGGAGGTGCCGAAGGGGAGGCCCTCAATCTGGGGATCGAGGGCGTGATGGATGAGGGCAGTAATTGAATTGTTACCGGGGTATCCCCTGCTTGTTGATTAGTTGGTGATGAGGATATCCGAGGGCTCCCATTACCTGTGTGCCGTAGGCTATCCGTCAATGAGGCATACTCCCCGGGGGCTACCCGACCCTTACAGTGCTGAGGGGGGATCCCCGAGGGGTGGCCTGATATGAAGCCTTGGGCTTCTGAAGGAGTGATCCCGAAGGCGTCCGTTATGCACTGTGTGGGGCACAACCTGGGAGTGTCTCTGGGTAAGTGTACCCGGAGGCTTTCCCCTTGATGAAGTGGAGTGAAGTAAGAAATCCGGGGGCTCCCGGAATACAGCCGTTGGAAATATAGTCGTTGGAATATGTAACGTCCGGATATAGCCGTTGGAGGGGGGTTGCCACGTGGTGCGTGCTCATTGGCTGGCCGTGGGCGGGCGTCACCGATTGGGTGGAAACTCGGTTGGTAATGATGGCAGCCCAACCGGAGGCCCGGTTCCCAGGCCCAAGCCTGGATTCCAGCGCCTATAAATACCCATGGCCGGGCTTCCTTCCCCTTGTGCGAAATCCTTATAGCGAAGCTCTGCCAAATTTTCTAGAGAGAAACAACAGCCCTCGATCAGATTCTAAGGTCAGTTCCCCACTCGCCTTCACCTCCTTAGTTAGCTGTTTTTGTGGCCTTAGATTAGGGGCGTAGCTTAGAGCACTTAGCATCTCCGAACCGTCGACGTAGTATAACAATGTCCTCACAAAGTGATTCTCAAGACATCTAGGGGGCGCCCTCGATGGAGGATGAGGTCATCTCGGATGTGGAGTCCTCAAGAGAACAGTCCTCGGCCCAGGAGGATGTCGCGTTGGCGGTAGAAGTGCAGAAAGAGTTGGTGGCTGAAGTTGAAGCCGAGGGCTTCGAGCAGGAGGCGGAGGACGAGGAGCTTGCCCT